CACTTTAAGATATGGACAATATTTGGAAATAAAACAATATTATTTTTGAAATAGGTAAGATACGCAGCTTTTAGTTCTTACATGTCAAGTCAGCGGCGGTAAGTCCCCAAACACAAATACGTCGAAATTAACAGTCGAGTATTTACAAAAGTTCAAGCATATACAGTGTGTCCACTTAAGTTCGCAGCATATGGGAAACTTTTTTATTATTAACTTTATGAAAAAAGTTTTTCTTCACAAAAAGTTCTGCAACTATCAGATATATTTTTACAATAGTATACGAGATATATCAAATAATATGAATTTAGCTGTAAAATAAAGTACATTTATTTTTGATAAATCACGTATACGACTGATAAAATTTGATATTTGATTGTTGCATTTTACGTTTTAGACCATGCTCGACTTTTTATGAAAAATAACTTTTTTCATAAAATTAGTAATAAAAAAGGTTTCTGCATATAGTAAGACGAGGATGGTGTCAAACCTAAAATACTACCATCAGATATCAAATTTTATCAGTCGTATACGAGGTTTGTCAAAAATAAAGATATTTTACTCTTCAGCAAAATTACCTATTTGACATATCTCGTATACTACTGTAAAAATTTAATATATCATAGTTGCATTTTAGGTTTCAGACCATTTCGACCTTTTTATGAAAAATAAACTAAATGAAAATATTTTTTCCTTCGACCACTTAGGAAAGTGACACATATCACACTATATAGTCCTATGGAAAGTGCCCTATATCACACGCGTATGAATAGGAATTTACTTTCCACCCGTGTACGAATATGCTACTTTCCGCAGCAGCTGTCACAAAATGTCAAACACATCATTTCTATTTTGATCTATGTAATGTCCATATTAATACTAAAATCGATATTATGATTAAATTATTAAAATTGACGATTAACTTAGATCCTAGATATTTATTTTTAACAATTATTAAAATAATTTTAAAATAACTACATACATCTCATTATTTTGGCTTTTTGTTCTGTTTAAACTTAAAATCGAATTAAAAATGCATTTGACATAAGACCTATTAGCTCAGGTTTTAGGGTAGTTGCAATTTGAACTTTGGCTTACACGACGGGTCCGCGGGCCCGCGGAATTATTTTTTTGGTTTTTAATTTTTGTTTCGAAAAATATGAAAATTGCATAAATACAATTATTGTTGATTATTTTTTTAAATACATTTTAATTATTATAATAATAACCTGGTTCTACATTTTTTGATGAAATTATTTTGTGGTCGTAGGAAAAATATTGTACATCACTTGTGTGAAAAGTAATTTTCCACACTGGTGTGATAGTCGCACTCGGCTTGTGCCTCGTGTGACAATATTTTCCACTCGTGTGAAAAATGTCACTTTCCACACACGTAATGTAATATACTATACTTGTTTCTTTCGACTTACTTCTGTTTTGAATGATTCCTACAAAACGGAAAGCACATAAAATGTTTGTAAATACGCAATGTTGCCACATTCACTGGCTCAAGATGATACGGAATTACTTTCAATACGTATATATAATTATATACCGCAAATACCTACCTAAGCGCCGCAAACGTCAAATTGTTGAACTACATATTGGAGTTTCGTATATTCCTGAACCAATAAAAAAGGGGGAATATCCGGCAATGTGTTGGGCGCGAAGATTTGAAAACATAATTTACAGATTCCTTTATTATGGAACTATTACAATCAAGTTTCACTTTAAGCATAGAGTTGGTATTAAATAATTTAACACAGCAAAACAAACTTGAACCAATATACTGGTTCAGGTTTGTGATGGTGGTTCAAGTTTGTTAACCCAAGTTACTACTTCTGGTTCAGGTTTGGATGGTTACCGTAAATATATATATATATATATATTATATTATTATATAAAGTAGATGTAGTAGATCTACAATTGTTTCATTATGTGGAATTGATTTGGAGTTGTTTTATTTTCTCATTGAAGATGGCTACATTTGAGAGAGTGGATTCCCTTCTAAGTTTTTATAATTAATATAATTCACAATTTGGATTAGAGATCTCTTGCAGAGGAGCTGGAATAGTCTTACTAGATCATATGGATGAATCGTCTAGTGAATGAACTTTTGTTTAAAAGTCTGATTGGTGATTCATCTGTACAAAATCTAAAGACGTTTTTTCACTGTAGTTCTTAAGTTCTTCACCTTTTGTAGTAGCTGTAAGTGTGCTACAACACCTTTGAATTAATATATATTATTTTTCAAATGAAAATTTCTATTCATTGATCTCAAAAATGGCAAAATTTAGCAAATAAATGTTTAAAAACCTATTACAAGTAAAAATAACGTGGCAACTTCTTTGAAAACACTTTGAGGCCACTTTGGGAGTCGTGAGACTTGGGTTAGGAACCACAAAACTCAGTCCTTACCAAAGAGTTTTAATGACAAATAACCCACATAGCAATAAAAATAATTAATTAGTTGACAAAATAAACACAATGGTATTTTTTTGGTTTCTGAGCCGAAAAGCAAAAACAGAAAGAAAATTGGTAATTTTAACAATCCGTGTTATCACCTGTAACCCTTATGCAAGCTTCTATTCGCCTTGGCATGCTCCTTATTAAATTGTCAACATTGTCTTGGGGTATGTTCTTCCATTCTGCTAATGCTGCATCAATAAGCTGTACGAAATTTCCTGCATTGTTTCGACGAGTTCTTATCCTTCTTTTGAGCTGGTCGATAGGATTTAGGTCTGGTGAACATGCAGGGCAGTCTAAAACTATGACACCTTCTGTTTCAAGATATTCTGTAGCCACTCTGCTGGTATGGGGAGGTGCATTATCGTACATATTGATAAAATTATCACCAATTTCATCTCTCCAAAGCCTTACGATTGGTTCTAGCACTAAATCAACATATGTCGGACCGGTTAAAGTTTGTTGAAGTGGTAACAATGGAGTTTTTGCTTCCAGTATAATACCTACCCAAAACATTACAGTTCCTCTTTGATATCATGGGACATATCTGGCAGCGTCGAGTCTCGCTCATCTTCCTGGAGCTCTGAGAACCCGAATTCGATGGTCATCTGATCTTAGGCCAATTCTGGTCTCATCCAAAAAAAGAACATTTTGCCATTTCTCAATTGTCCAGTTTTGGTGTTGGAGGCACCAATTTAGCCGGTTAATTTTATTTTGCCTAGATAAAGGTGGGACCCATAACTCTTTCCTACTGTACAAACCTCGTGAGCGAAGTCTTTCTCTTACAGTGTCAATTGAAACGTTTACATCTGTAGCTTCCAGAAGTTGTCGTTGTAACTCTAGATGAGAAACACTGGGATTTCGTCAAGTAAATTGGCACATGAAGCAGTCCTGTTGTTTAGTTGTGACTCTTTGACTACTTTGTATGGGCCTGTTCTTGAGCGTTTCTAGTTCCAAGTACCTTTCATATGTTTTCAATACAACACCCTGGGCATCTCTTACTACCTCTGCTACCTCTCATTGAGGCATTCCTTATTCAATGAGAGCAATAATTCTCACCCTCCTGCATATCCGTTAGTTCAATATAAGGCAATTTATTGTTTTTTTGGACCGAAATAAAATTACCGGAGAATCGTGATTTTACTTCTGAATACAAAAAGATAATAAATCTCAGCAGTTGTTTCTTCTTTATTATCATGTTTTTTAAGAACAAAAGGCCGTATCTTAAAGTTAGTTACCAAATTTTTTCCATACAAAACGTTAATTCAGAAATACACAGTGATTCCATATAAGTTTGGTTGTGTGTACCTTAAAATGAGCTATTTTTGTGTATAATCGATGAATAATAGAATTTTTCAGAATATTCAGCAATTTAGTAGAAATAAGTGTTGCTTTTAAATCAGAAAAAATAGTTTGTTATGCTGATGAATCTGCTTTGGCTTTTTATAGATTCATTTTCTTTTTATTTTAACGCCCTTAAGAAATTATTGTCCAGACCTGTTTTTTCCTAGTTTTCTAACTTTTTTATATGTAGTTATAAGTAATACCTAGATTTAAAACATATATGATGTACCAACACATGACTTTCCAATAAAGTTACCAAATATATTGAAACACGGCCAATCTAATCAAATAGTATTTGCAATATGAATTGAAAGTAATAAATATCCACATACATTTTAATAAAAAAAAAAAATTATAAACTTATTGCCAACGAAAATATTGAGAAAATAACATCACAAACAACTTTATTTCAAATCATAAATAACATAAATATAACTTTAAGTAGAAAAAGGGCCTATAAAGTGACCCTTTCACCAAATTATCCATTAATGACCAAAATCTAATATACTCATCGCACATTTTAATATTGTTCTGTTTATCAGTTTTTAAGTTACCATTTCGAAAATATCCAAAACAGATTCACTAGACCCAAAATGTAAAGATTTGTCGAACTTGAGGTCGAAATAAATCAGAATTGTATACTTTCAATCTTGGTAACTCGAAACTAAACAAAAATATAGTTGGCCTTATTTAATTTTAAAGCCATTTTTTAATATTCCCGAATTCATTTTTTTTTACCATGTGAAATATATCTCGCATATTTAAATTATAACTAATTTGATTATTTTTCCATTTACACATACCTACGGTATTTTAAATATATTTTTAAACCATAAAATGTCAGATGTAAATCATTCAAACGGATTTGCGTTTCATGTTCGGAAAAATTAAACAAATTAGAGGGAAACAACTATGTGCCATTAGCCGTAATTGCAACAATTAAAAAATGCATATTTCAAAATACGGCTCGATTTTCTTTTGATGTATTAGTTCGAATTCAGTACGCTCTATTTAATAATTAAATTGTAAACCTTTTAGGCCAATAGTACGAAATGTATTTTTTAAATTATTTATTCTCTCCCCTGTTATGCGATAATTTGGTTTTACAAATTAATTTGCTCTTTGAACGGGATCACATAAAATTAGTATCAATTTATGTATCTTAGTTGCTAATATGTTCTTTTTAATTCCAGGATACAGACAAAGAGTCCCACTATCCCAACATATCCAAACCATACGTCAAAAATGTAATCGATCAATGCAACTACCGAAGATACAGCACAGAAGGTTGGCCAGGCGGTACGCCGATTATAGAACTAGACGGCAACCACATAGAGGGCGCCGCCAGAAGCAAAGTGTCCAGAAGCAGCTCGCCTGCTGTGGAAGAATCCCTAGGACTCAGCAGGTTTAACACAGCCTCTAAATACTGTCTAAATAGTGTCGCTACGGTTCTAGCAGTGTTTCTCGTTTGGTTCAATCGTTGAAGGGACGACTTCCTTTTAGGATTTTTTTAAATATTGAATCTTTTCCTACGGTTTGAGTGGAGAGGGACCGTTATTGTGAATTGTTTCGTTTGAGTCATGTTTTACTAGTCCGATCGGCCAGAGATTTTTATAAAGAAACTGTGAACAGTGTTAGTTCGTTTTGAGATATAAGTAGGTTTGGTTTAGCGGTGAAGCGTTTAAAGCAATACCTAGAGCTAAGTGTAAGGCTTAATCCTAACGAAGACGGTGATGTATGGAATCTCTAGATATAACGAGACGTTTAATCTTATTAGTAGTTAAAAATTGATGGTGTTGAAGTCAATATCATAAACAGAGAGAACAGTAAATGATGTATTAGGAGATTTTTTAAATGTAATATGTTACTGGGAGTAACACGAATTTTATTGTTGAGCCCAGCCACAACCGGGACGACATCAGAGGATGTGCAAACTTGGCGAAACACATAAAGGACCTTCTATTCTTAGTAATGTATACTATTTTTCTCCAATAGACAAGTTTAAAAAGTTTTACACCATAATGGACATAAAATGGTATTTAACGGAAAATTTGATAGGTCACGTCTGATCTGAGGAAAAAAAATAAAAACAACATAATATTTATTTAGGTTATTTGCTAGTAACAAAATATTAATATTTTTTAAAGATATTAACACAAAATAATCAATAATATATTTTATTTATAATATTTTTATTCTCTGGAAGAAAAACATTTTTTTGACTTATAATAAAATTCAATTGATCAAAATTATTTTAAATATAGTGGGAAGCAATTTTCATTAATTTCTACAAATGTCTAGGAGAGATGGACCACATTTTAGAAATGTCACAACTAAAACTATATTAAAGTATATATAAACCTAACAAAATTGGTAAAATATAAAGTAATGCTAATACTTCAAACATAAAATAAAATTTGGTTATAACGACTATTTTAAAGAACATGGTAACAAAAATAATAAAACATTACATTGGACCGACTCTCCTCCAAATCGGAGAATAGATGGACTGCATATACTAGGATAGATGGACTACCTCAACATCTTATTTTTTCTTAGCTACATTCATACAACAAGAATGGCATATGGATTCAAAGTTCGTACAGCCTTTGGATCTAACAATTTTCCTAATACCTTCTTCAGAGGATAAAATTCCACTAATTTGACGTCGAGCTTTCTTAATAGCTGAGGTGTCCACTGGCACTAGATAAATTTCATCTAATATTTTTCCGGGCGTTAATTTAGATGTAAGAACTTGTTTCTCAGGAGTTTTTTTTGTAACTTTTGCAACCCAGATGGACCCGGCTGCGGCGAATAATCCCTTTCGTCGACAGATAAATCTTCATCTAATTTGTGTGCATCAGCTAGTTCTCCATCTTGCATGAGAAAAACGTGATCCGGAATATTATGAAAGTTAAAAGGCATTGTACCAGTGGCGCAAAAACTTGACAATGCATTTTGTACAGTAGCAGCTTTGCCCCATGCCTCGCCCAATACTTTTCGGAAATGCATCCGACTTAACTTTCGATCTCGTTGATTTTTTATAACATACCTGCAAGTTTCATAGTAGCTAAAGTAGTTCTGTTACTCCAGACTATAGCCCCGTAAGTGGTAATTGGTCTCACTATTGCAGTATACATCTATCCGGTTACGTCCCCATTCTAACAGCATCTCTAACAAATATTATAGAGAAATTAATGCTCTACAAAATGTCAGTGTACTATTTTAAAATACAAACAATTTTTTAAGAAATAACTCTATTTACAATATTTTATGACATATCTCATAAACGTTTAGTCCTGCCAAAACAGCGTTCGGAAGAAATATGTAGGGAATTATAATTTTTTTATAACGTCAATAGTTATTGATATCAACATTCTCAAATATTTTCACCATTTACAATTACTGCGATTATCAGAAATAAGAATATATTCAAATAATTTGCTTCTAATTATCTTAATCAGATTCAATCATGAGTGAGTGGAAATTCTGAGATTGGCATACACTTTTATAAAATAACTAACATTCCACAATCTGATAAATTCTGTCCACTTCTACTTTCATCCTAATATATTTCCCGAAAAACACTCTGAGTGACTCATGAATTCTTTTCTCGAGTAATCAACCTTGTACTTATTTCAATATGATTTGAAACAAAAATTAATGAACCATTCATTCACATGATATAATGTATACCAATATAAATATAATATGCTCAATTAAATAAAATAGATTCCTTATCTATATAGTTTGATATACGCCCAGTATACAAGATAATAATAACTCTTATCTAGGTTGAATGCTCCATTTTGTTTTCGTCTTATTTCAATTCATTTGTTGTGCGCAAATGACAAAGACGAGTGATTCCGTTAACAAAAAAATAAATAACGAGATAACCATTGAAGGGGAAAAACGAAACAAAGACTATTTAATCAAGCGTGCTGTGTTTGAATCCACTAATCAGAAAAGGAGCCTGTCCCGAATATGTAATGGTTGATTTTTTTACCTGCGGTACTTTTTAATACTTTTTTTTCTGAAGTTAAAAACTAATCGATTTGACTTGAAAAACCGTTTAATTTAGTTTTAATTTTAAAAATAAGTATACTTATTAGAAGGCGAAATTTATTTAAGACTAAAAACTTGCTACATCTAAGGCGCTAGCGAGGATGTCCAAACTGGATTAAAGATCCTGTTATATGCCCATCATTTTGTGTCAAACAATATTTTGAGGAAGTTTGGTGAGTTAATTGGTTCTTTAAACTTAAATAACTAATAATAGAATTTTTAAAAATCTCTTAAAATAGCAATGTTTGAATTTTCGACATTTTCTTGTATGGAGTATAATTTGACATAAATTGCAAAATAAAACTAATTACAACAATTTATTCTAATTATTAATATCGCTACCTTCTGTTTGGTTTAATGATAACCTAAACATTGTTGAGATGTGCCGAAACTTTGAATGTTATTCTTGAAATTTGAGTTCTAACGTTGCTATAAAGCATCCTATTTTTACTCTTTATGGTTATATTAGAGAAAATTTTTCTTTATCTCTACTAACACCCTAAGACGACAAAAGTAAGTTCTACTTTGAAGATCTTCCGACGAACTCCTCGTGTGTGATCCTATTTTTACTTGCTATGATCATCTTAATAAAACACCTACATCTTTCTTCTACAATTTAAAATGGAAAGTTCTATAAACTTTCTACCTAACACAACTAAAAAAAAAAAGACTCATATATATTACCCTTGAGAACAAAAATTGGCACTTTTAAACTTTTATAATTTCAACAAAACACAAGATAAAATCTTCATCCAAATTTATTTTGTTGCTCGCCTTAAGTAAACTAGCAAAAATATCGTTTTGATCATAAACTTTGTACAACATTGTTCCCTATTAAGCGGATACAAAATTTTATGTTTGAAAAATTTCCGCTTACCAAGCAAGTAATGTTATCCATCTAAGATGAGATGATGCTTCAACCAGCCATAATATATAATCTATGAAAACCCGCTGTGTTGTCAAAGCTGTTGATGAAAATTGGGAAAGTTTTAACCCGCTTCCCTGTAAAGAAGGGGTCTTGGAGATGTAATTTTTATGCGATATGATTATTAGCTCTCTATATCGTTTTTGTCTCTTAATAAAATAATGAATTCATTTTTTTCACTATTCTCGACGTTTGATGCAATCGAACGCTCTGCTGAGATCACAAAATATCTCATTTTAATCACGTATTAAAAGGTTTCATATATCACCGTCGCAACGTCCTATTGATATACATGAAAGACTTATATTTAAACGCTTCACCAAAAAAAAGTTGCGGCAAAAAAATATGCCGAATTGGACAAGATAAAAAAAAACGCCGCGAACGGTCTGTGATGCAAGTAGATATTAAGCACTTTTTCAATATTCTGTTTTTCTTCTGCTACTTCACGTAGTTCGGCCATGTTGTTGCATAGTTCCACCATTTTAAGTTCCCCCCGTATGTTATAGGAGCATTGCGAATTCGAATATTGCAGATATGTACTATTTTTACTAGTAGCTATCAAGAAATTTTTGTAAAAAAACTGACGTTTAAAGCTTAAAAATATATGTGTAAAAAACGATATTTAAGTAAATTTTTTTGATGTTTTGACTAAATATTGGACACGACTATGATGTTTTGATGCTGTAAAAGAGATGTCTTAAAAAATAACATTATTTTACTGTTTTGGCAAAATTTTATCATGAATTTTAAGTTTTTTGCAAATATTTCAAGTGACATGTCAAAAACGTCACAATTTTGATGTGTTTACCTGAATATACGTTTTTATAAAATGTTTTGAGGAGTTACAGAACATAATTTTTCTACACCCGTATTATAATAATGCACTTATATGCCCATAATCCGTTTCATAATGATACCCATTATGATACAGATTTTTCATTATGATACAGATTTTTAATCAATAGAAACCTACAATTTTTCAATCAAGCATGATGTTTGACGTTTGTCCTAAATTCCTATGTAATTGTTTTAGTTGTCAAAACGTATTAAATTTTCGTAGATAGCTAAACTTCGATAATTATAATATTAAAATGTCTGATATCAGCGATATAGAACACTCCTCCACACATATAGGAGAAAGGAGAAAATGCAGTACAAAATATTTTGCCCCAAAAATTTGTGGTAATACCAGTACCCAAGGTAATACCATTAATTACAATTTTGTAGAATTTTTTATAGAAATACGAGTAATTACTGTTATTGTGTTCAATACCAATATAAATAGAATATTTATAGGTCTTGATTATTTATCGGGTGTAGAAAAAATAGCGTATGCAACTCTCATGTAATGGTTATTAAAACACTCGCATAAACCATACGAAACTCGCCTTTGGCTCGTTTCGTATCCCGGTTAATGCTCGTGTATTAATAACCATCATTACATGATCGTTGCATAATATACTATTTTATTGAAAATAATAAACAAAAATTCTT